AATTGTGCAGATCACTAATGTTCCCATGGCCGGCGGCAGCGGAGGATTCAAGCCCTTCAAAGGAAGGTTCTAGCATCTGACTCTCCGCAGTGGAATTTTGTTATTTTTATTTTTATTTTGAACCTCTATTTTTAATTGGCTGAACTTATAGCCATTAGATTATTGTAAAGATTCAATTTGGTTGATTTTGTTGTCTTTATAAAAGGCTTTACATGTAGGTTTTTGCTTCCTGAACTGTTCTCTGGTGACCTGTAAACAACCTTTGTGCACATACATGTTCTCTTGGCATTCTATAGGTGCAACTGTACAGCTTATTTCTTAACCAGTGTTTGTTTAGATAGCCTTAACTTCATGTTTCAGATACTCTCATATGCTTTGGGCAGACTACTGCGTGTAGCACTGGACACATCTGTAATTCCGTTAACATTTCAGTATGTGGCTTTTTTGATGATTCTACAACTTGATATTAAATTGTGGATTATGACCATCTCTGTATAGTTTGCTTCTGTTTGTGCCGCCGTATCCGCCCACAGTTGAGTCTGTGTAAGAAAAACTTCAGAAAATCTGAAGTTGAAGACTGAATGACAATCAGAAGAATCACACAGACTCACGGACCAGATTTCCTTTAATCAGACGTATTGTCCCTCGTCTAAGGCATTTGTTACAGAAAAGTTGTCCATCTACTTTTTGACACTGTTGGGCTACATAAATGTTTTGGGTCATTAATGAACCTTACACACAATGGAAGGTTGACCCTTATAATATCCTGATTTTTATTTTTTTGTCCTTTTTCTTTTTGCTAAGTTAAAATGTTTTGTGTAAATATACACGTATAAAGGATATAAAATAGAAATTGTAATGGGACTGTTTTTTAAAAATGATTTAGAAGCACATGTTGTTAAACATGCATCACAACTGCATTTTCATTATGGACTGACCCGGTAATATTGACAAGACAAATGCACCAGGAGAAAACTTGCCAGTTCCCATCATTGGCAGAAAGTACGTGTGCCGTGTGTAATGTGTGGCATTTCAATATTACTTGAAATTCAGAAGACAATTACCCTCTCTGATCGTTAGTTTTAAATCACCCTTGGTAATGCCCTACCAACATTGATCAACTCATTTGTTGCTTTCATTCCCATATCGCTTGATGGCACTAAGATATGAAAACATCAAATTATATTCATGAGACGTCTTGCAAACATTTCCTATCTGGAAGGGCAAGGAACATAACATCTAAATGGCAGCATTTACTGTGAAACACCCATTAGAAAGTTCCTTATTACGTTCAGTTCTTTAAGCTCCATAAGTACAAGCCTTATTGCAAAAATGATATTTATTGAGTGTTATGAATCAGGTTCAGCTGTAACCAGACAAACTCTGGTGATTCTAATTTTGTATAAAAAGAGGTATGTTTCTCATCTAGTGCATTCAATGTAACAGTGCATAAAGAACTAAAATGGTCTAGGACCTATAATGGAGCTACAATGGGTGCTGCACACCAACGGCCAACTAAGCAGACAAGGCCTTGGAATATTTACTGATATTATTTGGAGGTCAAAAATAGCTTTAGCTAAATATATTAAGCGGTTTGAAGCCATTTTCCATCTATTTACTCTTTGAAATGGGCTTTCTGATTTCTTTATGGAGATTGCACCCACAGCCTCCACTTTTTCCCCCTTTCTATAAATATGACATTTCAGTATGTATCCCACTAACATGTATGTTCTTGTGACATGTTCTTGTTCTTTACACATCTGCAATTAACGATTAATTTAGAAGCAAATGATTAAAGCTGAAGCACATTACAGTAGAATAAAGTTATTGGCAATCAATACAAATGAGACAAGCTAATGCACAGTGGGTACATATTGTGTGTGCTGGAGAAGTCTGTTGCACATTGTCCTTCATCACTCCTTAACCAGACATGCCACTGATCAAAAGCACCTTGGAATGTCCGTATTTAACCTGAGCTGCAAGTGTAACAGTTGAGGAAGTGTTTGAATCAGAACCTAAGTGTCAGCTTGTTTACAGAATGAAATGTTTGTTCTCCCAAGTTTGATGAAAACGGATGATTTATTTAATATCATCCCATTTCACCGCACCAACCCCAGTACAAACCCTTTAAGACATTTCTCTCCCAACTCTATAGTGACTAGCTTGTGCTTCCTACCATGACACCAGTTGCAGAGGTAAATGAATGTAAATCTAGTTTGTGTAGTGTAAAACCATAGTGAATGTGTAACCTAACCGTAACCCTAGATGTTATTATAGTGTACCTTCTAGGGAATGATAAGAACATGACAAATACAGACTGTTGTGCACTTTCTGGCTGAACACCATTAGGATGCCAACCAGTTAATCTCAGGTAACAACAAAAAATATATATATATTTACGATTTCTCTTAGAAGCCCAATTTGGGGATGAAATAGTAGTTACAACTATAAAGTTTATAGGGCTGTTCATATCAAGGACGAAAACTATAAAGTTTAAATAAGCTTTCCAAATTATATGACATTGCGTATTCCACAGAGAAACAAAGGAATTTCAGAAAGTTTTTTTTTGTTTAGCTGAAGAACGACTAAAACTTTTAAAAATCTCGAGCATTTAATACATTACTACAGTGCGCTTATAATAAACATAGCGTTATTATCCGTTGGTGTGGACGCTAGTCAGATTACACGCCATATTGAATTTGACGTAACGACGATGAAAACGAGGCTGTGCGTGATAGACTTCGTTTTTACAATGACATACTGTACAAAGGTTCTAGATTGTGTAATTTTCACAATTCACAACTTTCTAAATTGTTTTTGAACATTTCTTTTTTTCCGTAAAGACATTTCGTCAGCTGAACCTTTATGTTGTTAAACAACAGAACAATCCATTGATCGACTGTACTTCATGATGACATGGACGCTTTAAAAATTAAACATGGCACTATCCTGACTAAGGTGTATATAGTAATCTTTCTTGGTGTGAACCAGAGCCGTTGAAAAAGAGTTGTGACAACCTTTTATCTCGCCGCCACGCGGTCACGTGGTTCATATTGCTCTCAATAGTTCTAAATGAACAGGCGCTAAGAACCTGTTTGAAGAGATAGCAGCAGCGACTCTATACTTGAAGCAATTTTCGGTAAATATTAACGCATAATGTTGTTATATTGACTATATTTATAGTAGCCTTAATCCGTTTTTTTTTTCCTGTTTTCAATTTTGGAGGGAAGGGGGATTGCTTCCATAGCGTAGACTACATTGTATATATATTGTGTTTGGAATGCGTTACTTCCGTATTCCCTCTTCCAATGAAACTCTTTAGTAGTGTCGCAACTGACTTTTTCAACGATTCTGGTGTGAACGAGCCTTAACAAAGGGGACTATTTCCAATAAAACCCCGCGTTTCACATTTTACATAGTTTGAATCTATATCCGTTACCAAGTAAGCTAACACACGTCAAACTGTTTGCAAGACACTCATGGATATGTTCCTTCTGTGAAGGCCTGTGCGGTTTTCTGTCTATGGTAAGGTCTACAGATTGTCTCAGTCTCGTCTCTCACCTACTTTTGTCGGTATAAAAGATACTGTAAATATTGTAAGGCTTTTTATATACAGAGAGTATTGGCCACTGGGGGACCAAATGTCAAATTAACAGCTCCAGCCCACAACTAGCATAAACAGCATCTACTGTGCTCCTATGTAACCACCGGGCAATCAAACTGTCTGTTCGATAGACTACACTATCAAGAGGCTCCTCTACATGCAGGAGTTGTTCATTCTTGCATTGCGAGAGCAGAACAACAGGTAAAATAGCCCAACGTTAGCGCTTCTCTGAGTGTAAAGCTCAGTACAATGCTCAGTTCAAGGCATATAGCTGGAATGTTTGGATAGAAAAGACCTTGTCTCTCAGGAGAGGCAGCACTGGAACAGAATGGGCTTGAGTAATCCTTTCCTACCTTACATCCATATAGTGTAAATGAGTATGTACAATGTACATGAAAGTGTGTGAAATTTATAGCTCGATAGACTGATATATCAGTTAGCTTCGGCCAATGTTCAGCCATTTTCAGACTATCGGCCTTGGGCGATAGCGGTGTCTGCTTGGCCGATTAACGGAAGTGTTAAATCTCGTTATTTGTATCAGCAATCAGCCAACCTGCTCTCCATATTTCAGTATTGACATCGGCCCTTTGTAAAACTGATATTGTTTGACCACTAGCTGAAGGAAAGCAAACCATTATGATCAAAGACGAGATTTCTTTACAAGAACCATTCGGTTTTTGGGCAATAACACTGTAGTTCATTGAGCAATGCCAAACTTCATGGACAATGATCCTACTCATATACTTCATCTTATAAGGCAAATATGAACCAGACATTTGGCTGAAATGTAAAAGGGGTGGGGCGAAGCAAAAACTTGGCCATGTAATTTTATATAACCTACTGATTTTGATATTTTAAAGCTATTTACATTAATGGTAGTGTCATTTGCTCACTGATATTAAGTTATTGTCCTACTGCCAAAAATCATTCTTTTGTATACGCATCTATATAACCAACTGCATTTTCAACTGCCTAATAAGGAAACCCTTGTTGAATGCATTTGTTTTATCAAGATCTCACTCTCTAAAAAGCAAGTTACTTCTCCTACAATATCAACAATGAAGAATTTGGCATCAAACTGCCAGGCAAAGAACTACGGTGGCCTACATCATGTCCTGAGACATCACCTTTGCCAAGCGACCTGTTGGCTTGCTACCTGCTCATGTGAATGACCTTTCATTAAAAGATCTCAGATATCCTTCAGTCAAACAACAGAAACTGACCAATACAACAAATCTACATATGCATATATACGGGTAAACTGGTATAAAATAGCTTATAAACAACAGCAATAACGGAAATCAACACAAAAAAGAAAATGCTTTGTATAATGAAAAAAGTGGTGCCATGTTTTTTTTTTTTTTCCATCGGTTTTTGTTGGTGTTTTTTTTGTGGAGGGAGGGGGGGGTACTTTTTTTGCCTAGTGCTATGTGTACATTACCTTGTTTTACTACAAAAAAACACCCTCCCTGGTGACCCCACACAAATATAGTGCACTGCAGTGGATTTCCTGCTGAGAACATTTGGCCAGCTCTACGAAAGATGTAGTGGTAGTCCTTGTAGTGGCACCCCTCTCTTCTTGTCTGCATCTTCAGAACTCCGAGGGTTAAAGTCAGGCACAAGTGGCTTGAGAATGGCAAGTCCTCTCCGTCTGTCACACTTCTCTCATCTCTATTCTTTCTCCACCTCACGCTGGGAGATGCATTGCAGAGCCACTGGAATTAAAATGCTGCCCGTTTCGCACTCCACACAGAGTCCACTGCTGTTACAACAAGATGCATTTGTCTTTGTCCTTGGCTTCTTTCTTGGGTTTGCGTTCCCCCGTTGAGGGCTGTTTGCCTGGGCTTGGAGAAGCCGTGGCTCCCCCCGCTGAGGCTCCAGCGGCTGCCGCTCTATCCACCTGGTCGGCACCCGCTGCTGGTTGTTGTCCCTGACAGGAGGGGAACAAATTAACCTCTTATTTGAACTCCTTAAATCGGGCATGAAATGAAAATTCACCCTCTTGTTTCTAAATGCTTGTTATTAATCTTACTGTAACCGATTCACCCATGCTCAGTGTTGGGGAGTAACTAGTTACATGTAACAGAATTACGTAATTTAATTACAAAATAAATGTAACTGTAATCAGTTACAGTTACTGAGAGAAAATGTCTAATTAAATTACAGTTACTGAGAGAAAATGTTAACAATTACAAGGGGGGTTACATCTGAATTTTTTTTCACTCACTCACAGACCCACATACAGATTGAATTGATTTCTTTCATAAATTGACTGCTCTAAAATATGAGACACCAATGGTTTTTTTGTTTCCTATTTGGGTTTATGTGTATGCTTTATTTTTTAAGATTAACTGTTTTTCCATTGTTGTTTCCATTGGCATTGTTAGATGCCAGTGTTTCCTGTCATAGATTTGATTTCAAAAGCAGTATCATAGCTATAAACTATATCTTATGATTTTAAATCTGTATTTAACCTCAGAACGATCTCAAAGTAAAAAGAGGTGCTAAAGTCTGATTTTGTGGTGGCCGTGCTTTAAATTAAATTCTTATAATCTTAATTCAAGTGATGAATTAACCCTGCCTGCTTTAAAAGTTTGAAAATGAAAAATTCACAGTTGAAAACAATAGAAATTTAGAAAAGTATTCAAAAGGTAATCAAATGTAATCAGTTACATTAATAAAGTAATTAAAATAGTTACACTACTTGTTACATTTTAAATAGGGTAACTTGTCATTTGTAACCTATTACATTTCCAAAGTAACCTTCCCAACACTGCCCATGCTTATGTTAAAAAAAAAATTTCTATCAAAATGTCATAATTTGATCTTCCACTGAAACTACAGACTTTTGTCTGGCGATGTATGTATGCCAAACTTTTCTAATCGTTTAGGCTGTATCCGAAATCACCCCTATACCCTTAAATAGGGCACTATTTGAGGGGACAGCCATTTGTAGTGGTGTCCGAAACCATAGTGGACGTTCTCGAGTGCACTCATTCAATCCCACAATGCACCACAAAAACGACCGTACAACCGGTGCACGCTCAACGGCTAGAGAACACCCATAATGCACTGTTGGAGTCGTGCGCCGAATGAATTCCCGCGTCTCGCCAGAAGATGGCGCCCACAGCTGAATCATCCATCCATTTATTTTACAAAGCGCTCATCCACGGTGTAATACAGCGTAATACAACATAGGTATAAATTCATTGTAAATTGAATATTAAATTGTTTAACTAGTCTATACATAATTTCCATGACAGAGTTCAAGATAAATAATTTAATCTTACAACTGGAGCTGCCAGTTTGCCCGTTTCAAATGATTATTAAACAGCAAGCACAAACTATGCTCCTTCCGGTGCACTCTGCCCGAATTCACTTCAAGTGAACTGTCTTGATACTACTTAAACCCTGCCCCATTTCTTGCAATCAGATCCGCCTCTATCCAATCAACAATCGATCTGTAGAACAATGTCCCTGCCCTTCATCTTTTTTAAAATAACCTGTTTCACTCAGACGTATGTTACTGTATGGAAGAAGAAATCTGTCGTTTCAATGCAAATTTACACATTCATGGTTTGCTAGGTCTTATTTGTCCTCTTAAACAACTAATGGCTTTCAGCAGCCCCCCATCAAATCTGGAGCACCATGACATTTATGTGATGTTATGTCAGATTGATCAAAGTGTAATATATGCTGATATTTTGAAGAAAATTTTGGCATTTGAGGTAAATGTGGCGTGTTTATTTATTGTTGTGTGCAGCTAATTAACTCACCTGTGCCTGCGCAGCCGCTGCCTGTGCCTGTTCCTGCTCCTGATAGTACTGTGACGCTCTGCGGTCCTCCTCCTCCTGCAGCTTCTTGGCCAGCTCTAGATCACTGATGCCTTCTGGGATCTGTTCCCAACCCAGGTCTGAGGCCTGCTGTTCCTGCTGTAGGGACAGTGCCATCAGGTAGTCCTACACATACAAAGGGGAAAATTAAAATAGTCAACAACTTAAAAGTTATTTAGCAGAGTTAAGGTAGAAGGCTATAATATATACACTAGTACTACTTTTATGTTACCTTTAGGCGCTTGATATATTATATAAATTGCTATACTTTACAGTCACCTTTAATCAATTTAATGTATCCTTGCTGAATTAGTATTCGGGTGCTTTCACACCTGTAGATCGATTGCTTTGTTCCGAAACAGGGATTAAAATTATTACAATGTTGCTTTTTATTCTTGGTGCGGTTTGCTTTCAAACGGTAAAGTTTCTAAACGGACCAAATTGCGTAATTACCCATTATACATTGTGATATAGCCTGGTTGGTTGGTCCATATTGGATCGGATTGCTTTCTCACTACAACCGAACCGCTTCAGAGTTCGTTTTCAATCGAGCCGAGACCACCTCGTTCAGGCGATCTCGGACCGATTGTGTAATGACGCAGTGCCATGCTCGTATTTCCCGCGAAAATCTACCCGTACCACTCAAATTAGAAAACATTATTATAAGCTAACCGTTGTGAATCAGGCTAAAGTAAGACGATATTTTTGAACACTGGCTGGTTAAGTACTTGCTCAAATATTGATTTCGGATCATTTTTAACCAAAAAAAAGTTACGGACTGCATCTCATTTTATGTATTATATTTCTCTGACTAGTTGCCTTCCCTCCTATATTGAATGAGAAAGTGCAGCCTAAACTCTCTGCTAAATAACTCCTTTAGAGTTCCATAAAATATAAATCATACAGCTTTAGAACATAATGTGAGTAGATGACATAATTTTCCTTTGTGGGTGAACTATTTCTTTCTGTAGAGCATTATATCCTTACAGTAGTAAGGAGCTTACATAATACTTTCTGAAAAAAGATCGCAATACATCATGCATATCCTCACAGTTTGCCCATGAATTGACCATTTAGTTTGCTAACTGACCTCCACGACACAGCACTACAACGACTGACTTTTAAAGTACAGTGATCTCCAAGCCCTTCCCTCATACAGACACTTCATTATTAAACACCCAATACAAGAGCAGAAGAGAGACAGAGACACAAAGGATCTGTGTCAAGTGAGAGACTTTTGTCCGGTCATCAGGCATTTAAGCATCACAAAGGCACAGGGGAAGGGTTACACAGAGCTGGAAGAAGGGTCGGGGAGCTTTTAACATCAATAATTGAGGAGATTTTCCAGCGGGCAATGGAGCAGAAGTAGTGCTATAGGACAGCAGTGCGCTACAAAGCACAATATAGATAAACTGCATTTTCACAGAGACTGGCTGCGACACAACTGGATGTCAACATTCACGGCTCACTGTAATATCAGCCTCCTGAGCTCAGCGTCACCTGAAGGTCATTGTGACTCTGTGAAATGTTGTTACACAGAGTATATTTCTTAAAGACTTACACAGGGTATAACTTAAAGATGGGGTTGAGTGATTACTGTAAAACCACAATTAAAATATCAGGAATTTAAATGATTAAATAAGTTCCTGTTATCTACAAGCATAGGAACGATTAAAGGCTTTGAGGATTGGATCTTTAAATAGTAATTTTTAAAAGTGATTTCATATGCAGGGCTGGACTTTATGCTTTTCTTAAGAAAGGTACCCAAGAAAGGCCCAGATCACAGATACATAACTTATTTGTAAACCATGTCATTTTAAGGAATTGTAAGCAATTGCATTTTAAACTCCTGTAAACAGCTGAACATGAGTGACAATTTCTTTTAGCTGCAGTGTATATTCGTAGTGTTGTCTACACAGTCATTCAAAAATTTGGGGTCAGTAAGATTTTTTTTTTTGACCAATTCTGCATTTACTTGATAAAAAATACAAGACTTTGACAAGAAATACAGTGAACACAGCAATATTGTGAAATACGGTTACAGTATAAAATAACTATTTTCTATTTGAATTTATTTTCAAATGTAATTTATTCCTGTGATGGCCACTATTCCAGAACTTTCAGATTTGGTGCTCAAAAAACATTTCTTGTTAATTTAAAAAAAAGTTGTGCTGCTTAAATTTTGTGGAAAACATGACGATTTCTTTTCAGGATTCTTTGAAATGTAGAAAGCTGAAAGGAATAGTATATATTCAAAACAGAAATCTGTTGTTACAATGTAAAAGTCTTTACTGTCACTTTTAAACAATTTAATGTGTTCTTGCTGAATATGAGTATTAAATAATTTCTTTAAAAAAAAAAAAGCTTACTGATCTCAAACTTTTGAATGGTAGTGCATATAAATTAAACTCCATCCGACTGCGTGAGCTTTGATCATAGATGAGCCATGCAAATGTTCTTTTACAGATGTCACCCTGAGAAACAACTACCATATTCAGTGTTTATGACTGCATGACACTGAAAACTCCTGGGAAGTTACTAGTCCTGACCTGGTCGATCTGGTCTTGCTGACCACGGTACACAGTTTCCGGGTCAGAGGGCGGTCTCAGATGGAACTCTGAGTCGCAGAAGTTTCCATCTCCGTCGACATTATGCAGACTTTCCCAAACCACCTTCTCCTCAGTGAGAAACCCCTGATCCGTTACCAGCAGGTACAGCTGGGCCTGAGGAACACAGAGAGAGCATTTATAGAAAAATGCAACAACCTCACAGCTCTCGTCCATAAATCTTTCAACACTCCCAGACCGAGCAGCAGTTGTGTCATGTTCTGAAGTGTGTACACGAGGATCATGGAAGAGTTTTATCTGTGGGTGAAGTGTGTCCTGCTGTTACAGAACAGCTCCACTTCCTCCAGATAACAGACAGAGGCTTTACAGCCTCCCTGATAATAAGACATTACATAGGTTACATAGAGTGTCAACATTCAAAACCATACAAATTCTCTCTAAAGTTTAGCCCTGAATGAGCAATCAAAATTCAGGGGTTATTATTAACAAAAACTATTAAGATTTTTAAAAAAGCTATATGATTGTTTACAAAAAAAAATGCAAAAAAAGTTTGCAAAAAACTATAAACAAACAAAAACTAAATAGAAACATGTATAGAGTGACTTTGTATTTTCAATGAATTCTGGGTGCATTTCATTATCAGCACATACTGCAATTTGCTTTGTTGTAAACTTTGCAGGTTTTACTATAATATTTTAAGCAGTTTCTGAAACACTGCATTGTGTTTTCAGATGGTATAATTTGTGGTGGTGTTATATGAGATGAAGACTAAAACGACTGCAATAGCCTAATGCAATAGCCAATAGACTCAACAAACAAGTATTTTAAAAAAAAAAACTTAATTTTACTGCATATTAGTTTATTTGCATGTGTTTTTGTTAGACCTTGACCTTTCCAATATGCAAAATCATGGTAATTAGCAATAGAATAATTTAGGTACCCCATATCTATACTTCTGAGTAGGCCACTGGGGGGCACCAACATACAGCATCCCTCTAAAGACAAATGAACCAAATTTACTTTGCTTATTGGAGCGCTTATTCACAGCAGCACAGAGCCATCTTCCGGCATCCAACATCTCAAATACATTTAAATGTCAACACACCTTAAATTTGGTCATGGTGCTGAAGTGATTGTTCCTGAAGAAGACACACAGTTCTCCCTCTTGTACGGTAGAAGTGAGTTCACACAGGCCGTGATATGTTAGCTGAGTCGCTGTGTTGTTCAGAAACTGCTCTGCCACAAAACCTGGGAAAGAAAGCGCCAGTGTGAGATGTCTCTGAAATACACAATACAATACAGACACAAATATTTGAATTTAACACCTTAATATCCGCCCTAGTTCTCCTTGGTACATAACAATGTCAGATTTGTAAACAAGTCAGTCCTTTGAGTTTAATCTTTTCAAAGAATGAGTTGATTCTGTTCACAAAACTGTTCTGAATGATTCATTCACAATGACAGTCCACTGGAGGTGGTGATTATCAATGAATAATGATTTGAATTTCAGTCTCTTTCACTCAAAGCTATCATATGACTTCAGAAGACTTGGTATGAGTCATATGGACTAATTTTAGGATACTTTTATGGTGTCTTTTTCAAAAAGTGTTAAAGTCTCAGCCCCCATTCACTGTAACTTTACATTTTTCCAGACAGAATGATGCAAGTCATAAAGGTTTGGAACAACATAAGAGTTAATAATTGAAGAACAAATGTTCGGGTGAACTAATCCTTTAAACACACACTGTCTGAAACTTTATGACACACAAAAATCACAGTCTGACAGAGACAGGCTCACATACACTGGTACAAACAGAAACAGAGACGGAAAAGGTGCATTCTAAAAGACGAAAAGAGCAAAAAAAAGACGGCAAGGGAGATATATTTAGACACAAATGCAGTGAGCGAGGGAGAGAATGTTTCAGACATCTAAAAACTGTGAAAAGGAGGAGGGTGCTTAAATGACTCTGATAGTTGTTTATTTGCATGATGCAATGGGGAAAAACTTTCAGGACATGGATTAATATGTACAATGCATTAATACATCTAAACGTACAGAAGCCTGGCAAAGAGTGAACTCGAAACACTACAATTACGTTACGTATGAGCAGCACTTGCCTTCTGTAAGAAGCAGTCTGCATGAATGTGTGAAAGGAAAAGGAGGAGAAGACAGATGAAAACAGTGAATACCCACCTTCCCCGGCCAGCTCGCTGTTGTCTGACTGCTTACAGCTGATTATCTTCTCTACCAACTGGTTATAGCTACAGTTCCCCACTGCCTTAACTGTATCAGCCATCTACAGAGAGCGTGATAAAAAAAAAGAAAGACAATATGCTGGTCAAAATATTAGCATAAATGTTAATGTTACACACAGGCGATGTTTTTTAGAAGGGCGTCAATTTAATGATGTGTTAATATGTCAGTAAATTTAATTTAAACAGCACATTATTAACAGTTGAACTGGTTTTAACGTGAATTGGCATTGACCATGACGCTCACTGCGTGATACGCTAAAAAACAATTACTGGCAAACTTAATTAAATGATGTGTTGTAGACTGTAGCCAAGTAATGAGCTTAAATTAGCTTAAATGTTAAATGATATGGAACTAAAACCATCTATATATTAATTTTAAATTTTGAATACTAATTGCAATTACTTCCAATTAATTTGATAAAGTAGTACACACACATATATACATACATACATATATATATATATATGAGCAATATCACTCGAGCACGAGAGCGATAAGCATCCAAATGAGAAAGAGAGAGACCCAGAAGCTAGACGTTTCTTCTTATATTAACTAACGTACTCTACGATTAGCTCAGTAAATAATAAAAAAAAAAAAACATAGACCCGGCTAGAACAAGCGGAGTGATACAAAATTGTGAAAGGGCGTTCCTGTAGAGATACCAGTACAATATCTCACGGTTCTCAACCAATCAGATTTGAGAACCAAAACGAACTGTTGCATAAATATATATATATATGGATGTGGAGGATGCAGGCCTATGAAGTAGCCTAGAGTCGGATACGACTAAATGGCTAGAAGAAGATTAATAAATGACATCATGTGGTGACATCTAATGTTTCAGTGGAACTTGCTTTTCTAGAAGGATGTGAATCAGGATGCTGACCTGTGGGTCAACCAGCCATCCGTGGTAGAGTGGGATATCCAGCAGGTCAAAGACGATGCATTCGGGTGTGTATTCGAACACCCGCACACCTGTGAACTTAACGTTTACATCCAGACCTGTCTGCAGTTTATGCAGCACTGCCATAGCGTCACTCATATTCTAGAGAAAGAGAGAGCAAAGAAATACAGAAAAATAAGAAAACAGTAACAATCTTTCCAACACAACACATGAACACATTTCTGTAAAATGTCACACCCAATTGTCTTGCTGCTCTGAGCAGGAAAAATCTCATAATCTAGACCAGCGACTAAAAAGCTCCAAACACCAGAGTTCACCTCCTTTACTTCCTGTCTTTCTGTTTGACCATAATGACCCTCCAGTGACTCTCAAAAAAAGCACAGCTACAGGCTCACAAACACAAGCCACTGCAAGGCTACAAACTCCAGCGCAGTTTAACAGATAGAGTGTGAACATACGCGTGTGTGTGCAGCGTTTGATATTACGTTCCAGGCCCTATGATAATAATAATCTGTCCGGCTCTCACTTTTAAGGACTCACAGTATGACCATCTGTTATGTGGATCGGTCACCGCTTACACAATGAGTGTGTGTGGACAGTTGTTGGGATTAAAGCTTGTAACACAACTCAACCATGTAACAACATTATATATCATAAACCACGAATCCCTGGAAACCAGTGAGATTATCTTCGTGCTTCTGTAGGAGATTTCTGCCCTGGCCATTTTCCATTGGTACAGGGGATTTCCTAGCACTTTCACTTAATTCAACCCCAATCACTTGTATCTGGAATTCTGGGTTTAATTTAAATGAAGTTTAAAATGGATAGTTCCAGTTCTGGAAGCTGATTGGTCAATACAGCATTCAGTGTTATTTTACTATTATTTATATACTATTACAGTATTTTGAATGAGCTTTTTATATCTTCAGTTTTCATTTAATTTGAATGTATTATTGTAATATTATACTACGGGGTCGTTGAATGCTTGAATCTGATTGGCTGACGAACGTTCTGAGGTGTGCAGGGAAACGCACGGCGAACGTAGTTCCAGGCAGCTCTCTTGACCGCATTACAGTTCCATATCACTTTGCATAGTTAACTGTAATAACGGAAATTAGCATACAGTACCTATACAGCACACAGGAATTACTGCAATCACACGTGC